CCACTGAAATGTGTTAGTGATTTTTTATCACCCTACAGCCCCATCCGTAGTCGGACCATCCACAAGGCGTTAACTTTAACACCGCAACGCTAGAGTTCCCTATCAAACACCGAAACACGCCAAAAGTCAACCGAAATAGACTTGACATAAACACGAGGTAAGATGCGTGTAGTGAGGCTATGGTGAGACTACACTCCCACGCCATGTGTAGATCCCTGTCAATTTGAACAGTGTACACTAGAGCTGGGGGTGACAAACAGAACCCCGTTCACGTGACCATCACACCAGGGGCGGCACCAGCATCAGAACCCCATCACAGACCAGCAAAGGCGTAGATGATGAACAGACTCTAGGCACAAGCAGATTTCCCTTATAGCTCACCAGGGGCGTAGACAGACACACTCTAAGCACACCAGGGGCGTAGAAAGACACACTCTAAGCACACCAAGGGCGTAGACAGACACACTCTAAGCACACCAGGGGCGTAGACAGACACACTCTAGGCACAACCATGGCGGAACCACAAGCAGATCCCCCTGATAGCACACCAGGGGCGTAGACAGACACACTCTAAGCACACCAGGGGCGTAGACAGACACACTCTAAGCACAGCAGGGGCGTAGACAGACACACTCTAAGCACACCAGGGGCGTAGACAGACACACTCTAAGCACACCAGGGGCGTAGACAGACACACTATAAGCACACCAGGAGCGTAGACAGACACACTCTAAGCACAGCAGTGGAAGATATGACCAGTAGAGCCCAAGCTTGGACCTTTTCCCAGCAGTGTTTCTTTCAGGCATATCTTCGGGGGGGGGGGGGGGGGGGGAGGGAATGACGGGGGGGGGACAACGTACTGCACATCCTCCTAACAAGATATACCTTTTATATAGAAAATATATACTTCTACGAGTGTGCCCCCCCATCCGGAAAATTTAGTCACCCCCTCCACCCCATAAGTTTTAAAGTCTGAAAGAAACACTGTTTCCCAGCCCATGTAAATGTGGTGCTGAGTTCCCCATCTACTTAATAATGATTATACACACCCCTGACCCTTATGGCTAAACTCCCACGTATCCGCCCCTGAGCTATGTGATTGAAAGCCTGACAGATAGCCAGGGCCCCCAGGCCATTAAAATTTATTTTTCTGTCCCGGATCTATCGTTCAAACTTTAATTCTGTCTAGCCATTGTAAACATATGCAAAAGTAGTTACATAACATAGTGTCGTTTAGGAAATATATATTACTTTTTTAATGTAAATAGTTAAAACTCTATGTATGGCCTAAGCAAATAAGGTTTATTTGATTGGGTTAAGTTAATAATATAACTCTACAGGCAAATATTGGAGGAAGTTAGGTAGATACATGAAATGGGTGGGGCCAGGTAAGGGAGATAATAATCTAAGGAAGGCAAATCGTGGTATAAAAAAAGTAAAATATTTTTTTTACAACGTAGACCGAGACAAAGAACGTATATTTACGATGAAATTAAATCACCGTGTAGACTCGGGCGTCACGTGATTTTAAAGATGGGATAGTCACGTGGTGGGAGACAGGTGATCGTGTTAAATAAATCAAACGTTGCCGATTGTTACCTGTTTGACTTGAGGAGGGGGGGGGGGGTCCAGGGTTGTTTTTATTTCTGTCAGTCTACTCAGGGTGTAAGTTTAATGTGTAGGCAACAGGGGGGAGGGGGTAGCTTCAATAATTTATTCTTCGCTGTTACACACACACACACACACAAACACACACACACACAAACACACAAACACACACACACACACGCACACACACACACACACACACACACACACACACACACACACACACATATATATATATATATATATATATATATATATATATATATATATATATATATATATATATATATATATATATATAATTCGACTCTATTCTTGGCACAAGCAGAGAGGGTACGGGTCGGAGTGGGATAAAGCTACAACAATAATGAATAGATAATTGGTTAAACACACACACACACAATTATATATATATATATATATATATATATATATATATATATATATATATATATATATATATATATATATATATTTATTTATTTATTTATATGTATTAATTGTTGCCCAGTCAACCTTGCCCTTAATCCGTCACCGGTTATAGGAAAACAATTACGAAATTATAAGATGTATTTGCTTTGTACTAGCCTTACCGAAAATCTGAATGAAAATAGCCTACAGTGACATCAAATAATTTACATAACTCTAACCTAACACAACAGTTAGTACAAAATCTAACTTGAAGCTAATTTGAACGATTGGTACTTTACATCATGCGTCACAACCTGTATGTACGCCTAAATACACTGCCACTTGCAACACAACCTGCGACAACCTGCGACAACCTGCGACAACCTGCGACAACCTGCGACAACCTGCCCCAACAACCTTACACAACTTGCCTGCAGGGAGCCACCACCACCACCCCCAACCTTCCTCTCACGACCCGGTCCCAACACATTCAACACATGTTTACACAAATCAAGTCAATTAATAGAGTCCGTTTGTTCATTGATCACCTTGCCATCTCGGCCTGCATCGGTAAACAATGAAAAATAAACAACCCCATTGTTTACAGTAAACAATCAGAACATAAAAAATTTCTTTTATCGTAGAACGAGGCTATTTTTAGATACAAGAAACAAGGTAGACAACTCAATGAAAAAGTAGACTAGGTTAATTTTAATAATATTCACCTTAAATTAACTCCCTTGATTCGCGACAGATGTTGGAAATAAAAAAAAACACACCTAGACGAGTTGAAATAAGGGGAAGTTGAATGATGGCACGTGTGGCAGATCTGGTCAGGAGGGTTATCTGTTGCTGCTGGCCACAACTGCGCGCGTGAGTGTGTGAGCACACGGGTGAGTCATGCACGTGGGACCACGGGGGCCATTGTTACCGGATCTCAACACGGCATCCGGTTTACCTCAGCCGGCCTGGGGTTACGGCCTGAACTGATCGATCGCCTCCATGTCGTGTTGGCGTCAGTCGTGCGTGACTCCCGCGTCTACGGACCCTGGCATTGTTAATTTAATAACACATGTTGACAGGGCCATTTGGTCCAATAAAAATCTGGATAAATGTATGAGAAATTTTATAGTAAAATATTACATAGGCCTAGCTGTTAACAGATAGAGCCTGTGTCTATTTTTAGCACGGATTGAAAAGGGACATAACTCGCGTGTAGTGTCTTATGATGAGTCATGCCAGGGGGGAATAAGTACACATTGCAAGGCTCTGCGAGGAACTAATGTTCCATGTTATCTGTGGAGATAAGGGAAGTAGGGAACACCGTTCCCGTGCTGCCCTGATGCTACATGACGAAAAGAAGCCTGTAAAACATTAAAATTTGATGAGGTGGAATGTTTTAAGATACTTACTTTTTGGAGTTAGGAAAAAAAGGGGGTGGGGGCGGTTGCTTTTAGATTTAACTTTAAGAATTTAGTGAGAGTTATTTAGGTGATATACCTCAGTGAAGGTTTCACGTAGGTGATATATTCACTTCGTTGATACAATCTGTTAGGTGACACAGTCCCGTATGTGATATTTTCACTAATGTGATATAGGCCTTTTCGCAGAGAATTATTCACTAACGTGAAAAATGTATTCACTAACGTAATATATTCAGTTATGTGATACATTCACTAAGATTAACAATAAAAGCCCACACGATACATTAACTGGCCTCAACCTTTCTTCAGGGATTAGAGTTTAAATAATTAACCCGAAATAGAAAAAAATAGACGTTTATTACAAGACGCAGGGGGGGGGGGGATTATGTCATCGATTTATAGAACAATAAAATACCCCCCCCCCCCCCCCCCCCCCCCCCGTTTATGACTAGTCCCGCCATCATAGAATGATACACACGTTGGGAGTGAGTGGTTTAGTCTCTGGTAGATAAGGTAGTAGTGAAGTGTGGAGAGATGTGTGATTCAGGTAGCTGATTAAGGTGTGGGGTGAGACATCTATACCATACAATATAAGTTGTCAGACATCTATACCATACAATATAAGTTGTCAGACATCTATACCATACAATATAAGTTGTCAGACATCTATACCATACAATATAAGTTGTCAGACATCTATACCATACAATATAAGTTGTCAGACATCTATACCATACAATATAAGTTGTCAGACATCTATACCATACAATATAAGTTGTCAGACATCTATACCATACAATATAAGTTGTCAGACATCTATACCATACAATATAAGTTGTCAGACATCTATACCATACAGCAATATAAATTGTCAGACATATATACCATACAATATAAGTTGTCAGACATGTATACCATACAGTATAATGATATAAATATACCTTCAATATAAGTTGTCAGACATCTATATTATAAAATTTAAAAAATGTCACAAAGTTATAGCGTAGATGTATGTACGATTTAACATATAGGATGAATTATCAAACAAAAAATACATTATTTTTTAGATCGGTAAAATCGGTTTAAAATTTAGAATTGCGCTTTTGTTAGGGTTTAGGCTTTTGTTAAGGGTTTAGGCAAAATCTAGGATAAGACTTGGGTTAGGGTTCCAAATGTGATCAGGGTTAGGTCTAGAGTTAGTACTTGCGTGATGGTACTGGTTGATCTTAAAATTAGTTAGTAAAATTACTGCGTAACTAACAACATAAAACCCCCAGTCTATATGAGCCACATGGTAGAAACCGGCCACAAGACATATAGGCCTACCAAACTGCAATTCAGCAACTTTATTCTATTTAAAATATAAAAAAAAAATGCCTTGGTTTATACAGTGTGAATTATCAACTGTTGCTGGTTCAGATGTGTTTTTATTTTTGACGAGATACTCACTTTGTCAACACTAATATTTAAAAACAAAGTCACACCACTGTTTTAAATACACAGTTTTATGTATGAAACACATAATGTGTTCTCACAGTTTAATGAATGTGTACTCACCTGCTTGTGAGTGCTGTCCTACCATCCGCCATCTTGCGTGTAGAAAAATCCAATCGATACGAGGAATCCTTCGACAGAAAGCACAGAGCTCACTGCCAGACGATAGGGCGAGGGCGGGACAGTCCAAACGGGTGACTCACGAACGGCAACCCAGTGGTCGATGTTCGGCGTTAGTCTCCCTTTGTGCCGTCTATCTGAATGTGCGGCGACAGCTTTTCCGTTACAGCTGAGCTGTTGAGTCGATACGAAAATAATGTGAGGGGGGAATGTTATACATGTCGCAAGCGATTATTTATTTATTTATAGAACTTTCGCACAGATCTTTGAATACATTAGATAATTTTCTAATAAAAAAAAATACGGTTGTTTACGTGAGGATGTGAGTGTACTGAATTAAGAAAATATAGACTGTATTATAATATATATATATATATATATATATATATATATATATATATATATATATATATATATATATATATATATATATATATATATATATATATAAATAAATAAATAAATAAATAAATAAATAAATAAATAAATAAATAAATAAATAAATATATATATATATATATATAAATAAATAAATAAATAAATAAATAAATATATATATATATATATATATATATATATATATATATATATATATATATTCACAATTTGTAAAATGTGGATACAGAGTTGGGAGTTAATACGAAACAGTTTTTTAAACAAAGCCACCGAGAACAGCACCCAGTGAATACAATTAACCGTCAACCAACAGCAAGATTTGGTTGTGCACTGAAGCATGGTAAACACATTTGTTAACACACAACATAAACACGGGGGGTCCTGGCAAATAAAACTGTAGTAATAATAATAAAGGGTTGGGTTTGATATACAGTAAATATTTTAAAAAAGGTTAAAAATTATTTTTTTGACTTGATTCTTAATATTGGTTAAATCGTAAATGGATTTAAGATTTTGTATTGTCTTCGAGGGAAAAGAAAAAAATCACAACAGCCTAGCTAATAGACCGCCATGCTCAACTTAAATCTAACACTCTTATAACCTAACTGTAATGAAACCTGATAACATACAATAGTACCGATATGCTTACCAGGCTTTTTATAGATAATTAGTAATGGGCAGCATGGTAGGTTGTAATGAAACGAATATCTAGTCCAATATAATGCTGTTATTAAGTCTAAGTCTTCGGTTACTGTAAACAAGTTACTGTAAGCCAACTACTGTAAATCACTTACTGTAAACACGTTACTGTACGCACGTTACTGTAAACCAGAAACTGTAGACCAGTTACCGTAAACCAGTTACCGTAAACCAGTTACTGAAATCCAGTTACCGTAACGACCATCTACCGAGGACACAGTGAGTTGTTTGTCGCGAGCTGCTAGGCTGTAGACTGTCTCCAATACTCTGTCAACAAACTGGCCACAATACAACATAGGCGGAGCTACAAACGTGTTAGGTTTATCTAAACAATGGAAACACGTGTTGTTTTGTTGGTATCGCTGCTCTGCTCTAAACCCCGGCCATAACAACAGAGACCCTTAATCCTAACTCTAATGCTAACTCCAACCCTACAACTTAACATCAGGCTTAACTCATACCTTGAACTCTTTATCTTACTCTAACCCGTTTCTTAAACTAACACATCTGAGCAAAATTGTGTGTTCTTGTATCTTAGTTGTATCCCAACCCAAACCCTAACTCTAATGTTAATTTAACCCTAAAAACCTAACACCAATCTTAACTCTAACCCTTTACCGAACCTGTTTTTTTTATATCCAAGCGAAGTTGTGTGCTTGTATTCAAACCCTATCCCTATCCCTAACCCTAACCCTAACCCTAACCTTAACCATAACCCTAACCCTAACCCTAACCCTAACCCTAACCTTGACCATGACTATAATGATGATGCTAATCATGACTATGAAACATGTTCACACCCATGATTACCCCAAACCTTAACCTTAACAATGGTAGCATCTCGATACGATATTGTTTCTCGATACGATACGGTATTTTGATACGATACTCAATCTCAAAATTATACTATATCTCAGTACGATACCGTATCTCGTATAATACTATATCTCGATACGATACTACTTATATATACTGCATTGGATCTTGACCCTATACTGTATCTTGGTATGATATGGCATCTCGATACGATACTGCTTATATATACAGTAGTGAATCTTGACCCGATACCTATCTCGATACGATACTATATCTCGATACGATACTGCTTATATATACGGTAGTGAATCTTGACCCGATACCGTATCTCGGTACGATACTATACCACGAAACTACTGAATCCCAACACGATACTGTGGTGCTAACATCGAAATCAAACGGTGCCGCCCACGACTTCCCCCCCCCCCCCCACCACTATTCCTGTCCACTGCTCAACACTGACTAAGGTAAAATTACTCACCATCCGACAAATTTTACGCACCAGCAAACGCGCTGCTCACCCCAGATGTCGCCGCACACACGTCCCAGCTCACACTTTAACTGCCGTGTCATAGTTTTCAGATGTTGACCTGACACACGCGCCGTCAGTCTAACGGGAGTCATGTGGTGGATTAGCTAATTAGCTTGACAGTTCTTACTTTCGCTGGGAGTTAGCTGTTCACACTATGGTGGTGGTATCTGTCGCTGGGGAGGGGGTGGGGAGGCTGCGGGGGGGGGGGGGGTGGAATCGGTGTAATACAGTACAGAGTCGCATTTGTTTGTACTTGAATTAATGTTAGGGTCATTGTTAGGGTTATTGTTAGGTCATTGTTAGGGTCATTGTTAGGGTCATCGTTAGGGTCATTTCAGGGTCATTTTAGGGTCATTGTTAGGATAATTGTTAGGTCATTGTTAGGTCATTGTTAGGGTCATTGTTAGGGTCATTGTTAGGTCATTGTTAGGTCATTGTTAAGGAAATTGTTAGGGTCATTATTTGGGTCATTTTTAGGGCTAGGGTAGGCGAAGGTCAGGTTTAGGGTAGGTTTTAGGCTAGGTTTAGTAGACCGTCCCTGAGTCCACCCAACTCTGATGGGTACCAAACTCACGTTAGGGAAAGTAAAGACGGCTGGGCATAGTGCTGACCACCTATCTCTTCATATGCCGAGGGTCACAGAAACAAGTGAATTCTACTTCACTTGCCCCATAGACCGTAAGGTATGAAAGTGAAACTTTACTTTACTTTAGGCTAGGTTAGTATCACTATGGCCAGAGTTAGACATATTCATTACCTGAAGGTTATGGCTTGTGTTAATGATTGTGCTAAGGTTTGGGGCTTTGGCTGTGGTTAGGATCAGGACAACGATTTGGCTCATGGTGAGGATTATGGTAACAAGTTAACACAAAAGCTAAGGCTAGGACTAAGGATTATGTTAGTGCTACTAATGCTAGTATTTGGATAAGTTTATGGTAGAAAAATATATCTATACTTTTGGGTACTGGAACCAGTAAGGGGACACAATTTCGACATAGCACAAAATTAGCTGCCCTACCAGACCAGCGCTGATGTAGACCAGTTGTAGTGCTACATGAGCACTATGGTACCCTGGTACTTCCGACGTATAACAACACAACAGTGTTGTGGTATGTTAGAAATATCCTTGACACATATGGGTTGAGCTAGGTTATTGTATGTACTGTGTGTGTCCTTATAGTTCTACAGCAGTATCTGAACTAGAAACTAGATGACATCTGCCATCCTGTTAAGGGGGGGGGGGGGGGTGTGAGAGATAGCGTGAAGCTATTCGGCACTGACAACGCTATTTTCATTGGATATTTATCAATACAAAATTTAATGTGGGCATAGTGTGAAAAAAGGGGGGGGGTCATATTATGTTTAAATATGTGTAAAAAAAAGAGTAAAAAACGAGGTGGCAGATACATTTTTCGTAAACCTATTTTTGACAAATATTCCATCTTTATTCCATTATGGTTCGATGTTAGTTCTATGACAACTGGTTCGATGTTAGTTCTATGACAGCTGGTTCGATGTTAGTTCTATGACAGCTGGTTCGATGCTATAACCATATCCCGACCCTGGTTTGATTCGTGTTGATCAAGGTTCAGTTCTGGTTCGATCACGCTCCGATCGTGCCCCATTCCAGATTCGATCACGATCGATCCAACGACGTACGTAAGCAATAGCCAACACAACAACATTTCGTGAGCAATAGCCAACACAAGAACATCTCGTGAGCAATAGCCAACACAACAACATCCCGTGAGCAATAGCAAACACAACATCCCGTCCTTACATATCTTACACAAACAATTTGATGTAAAAAGTCTAGTCCTAATTGTGATTTCACTTTGTAGGTACGTCGGTTTTTGCGAGATTCGAACCTTGCACATGTATCTGTTTGCACTACAGACTAATGCCGGTACAGAGACGATAATTTACTCGGTTAGAGCTGTTACTTCAGGGGAAGTGACAAGTTAAACAAGCGTGGAACTGACCATTACACTACACATAAATGTGACCATTAGTCTAGACCTAAATATGACTGTTACACTTCACATAAATGTGATCATTAGTTTGGATCTAAATGTAACTATAAGCTTATATCTAAATATGACCATTAGCCTTGATATAAATATAACCATTCGCTTAGATCTAAAAGTGTCCATTAAACTACACCTACATTGATATAAAACTACACTTACCTCAACCACAGCCCACTATCACAAAAACACAACTACCACAGCCGCACGTGAAAGCACATACTTAATCCACCAGTAGTACTAACCCAGTGCTAGAATGAACTTCCTCTTTTGTCAACAAACTGCTCACACGCACCCGGTCATGACACACACATTTGACTCACGCGCCAGATTCCCACACTCACTCTCCTGAAATAAATTTTTCTTTTCCTTTTTTTTTCGCGCGAAAGGTTAAAAAAAAAATATTTGTACGTAGAGATAAGAGCAGAAGTTCGGATGTAAGTAGGGCTGTTGGCCGCGTTCTTGACGTCTGCTAGTATGGTTCTGTTAGCCTGCACGGGCGTGGTAGGAATGATTTGCATACCATTGTAATTCATTAGTTAATTAGTTAAAGGTGTGGGTTGTTCGTGTGCCCGTGTATGAGTGTGTATGTTTGTATACTTGTGTATGCGTGTATGCTGAAAAATATTTGAATATACATATCGCAAAAAATATAAATAAATGGCGAATTTTTTTTTAACTGGGCGATGCTTTTAGTACATATGGTTTTGAAGTTGGCGGTATGTGAATGAGTATGTTTGGGAAAAGATAAACGTTTTTACACATACAGGGAGGATGAATGAAGATCTCAACGAAACAAAAAACAGAAACATGAAAGGGAGATAATAAAGACAAAGAGTTTAAATTCTACCCTGATCAAAATATTAGAGTTATTGTCCCTGTTTTGTATAACCAAACGGGCCAGAAAAATCGTTTAATGATTTTTTTTCACTGCTGCGGTTTGCAAAGGTAACCTCTCTGAAATTTAAGGATAGGTGAGTGATAGATGTAGTGTTAGCAGGGGTGGAGGGGGGTGTTCTGAGATGGTTTAATCATCAGTTTTAAGGCCTTTGAACATATTTTTTTTTACCAAATGGCATAAACATTTCAGGAAGAGAGAGTTAGTACACGTTTGAGATTTATTTAAAACTCGTTGGGCACGCCGGTTGGGTAGTATCGAAGCCATTTAAATAAATATCGATACCCCAGCACCCGGACATAACCTAAGATCTAATTTTATCCGTCAGAGGCGTAGCGAGGGGGGGCAGGGGGGGGGGGGTGCGGACCGCACCGGGTGACACCATTTAGGGGGGGGGGGGTGACACCAAGGCAAAAAATAGCAAAATATATAGAGAAAAACTTGAGGAGGGGGGTGCAAGGGTGCAAATCGAAAATTTGAAAGTTTGTCCCTGGGAAGGGTCGCTACGCCTCTGGGGGGGGGGGGGGGGGGTGACACCATTAAGTGCCGTACCGGGTGACACCCGACCTCGCTACGCCACTGTTATCCGTAATCCTGATACATTGCTTTTCTATGGCTCCAACTGTAACTTAGGCTAATATGCCATGGCAATAATCGAATCATTACTCTAAACATCGCAGGAAGAAAAAAACAACATATGTATGATAAATGATAATCCCTCAAAATATCCCAGCCAAAATATTTCTCGGACAAATGATATCACGACAAAATATCTCAGGACAAAATGCTTTCAAGGAAAATGATCTCAAAGACAAATAATCTCAGACAAATATATTAATATGTATTTAAAATAAAAACAACATGCACATTTATACAAACGTTTAAGCGCCACATTATA